GACGAGAACCCAAATGCAGTATTAGAAGGCCGTCATCAACACCAGTTTTCACTTAATGTATGGGTCGGAATTGTGGGAGCCACTTAATAGGCCCATTTTCTTTACCACCGAGGCTCACTGGAGATTTTTATCGTCGTTTTATTGAGGATGAATTGCCTGTACTTTTGGAAGACATCCCATTGCCATTAAGGTTGCAAATGTATTTTATGCACTATGGTGCTCCACCCCATTTCAGTTTAGCTGCACGTGAATATTTGAACAATATCTATCCAAATCGCTGGATAGGTCGAGGAGGCACACAACCCTGGCCCCCGAGGTCTCCCGACTTAAATTCGTTGGATTTCTTTCCTTTGGGGTCACCTCAAACATTTGGTTTATACGACTCCAGTGCAAACCATAGACGACAATTAGACACACAGCTGGAATATTTGAACGGGTTCGCCAATCAATGTGTCGTACGATAGATGCCTGTATTAGAATTGAAGGTGCACATTTTCAACAACTGTTGTAACGCCTGTGTATGTAAAGCATTTTTCATATCATTGCTGTTTGTTAAATATTTTTTCTTATGTTTCTATTAATATTCATTATTTAAAAAAATATTATTTAGTGAGTTATTGTTTCTCAGCTTGTTACATTGTTTTTCCTTCAAATGTATTGTTAAAGTTGATTAGTAAATAACTAAAACATTGAATTTCTATTTTTGTTTTCTACTTCCCTTAAGAATGTGCATATGAAAGGTTATTAATTTTTTGCTCGAAAACGAAGCAACATATAAAAAAAAGTAAAGAGACAAAAAAGTTGTATTTTAATCGCATAATTAGGAAAAAATATGACACCTAAGACAAAGCAGTGACGTCTCATATGTTTACTTATTAATATTAACAGGAGTGAGTCCCCGAACGCCGCTGGAATAGATAAAATAAATCAAATTACGTCAGAAGACGTCTACCCTTTTTATAAACAAACATACCAAATTTCAAAAAAATCAGAATTACGGTTCTCCAGATATTAGTAAAAACCTTGTATTTTCTCTAAATTTCTCTGAATACCCTGTATCTCCGAAACGAAGCATTTTCGGGCATAGGTTTATACCAACTTTCTTTTTTATTTTTGGTCAAGGAAACTCCCCCTTTTTTCGCAATATTAATGGGACACCCTGTATAGATAAATATGATTATAAATACAACGAGAACTTAATATACAATAGTTGAATAAATGAAACATTTAAAACAAAATTAATAACTATTAAAAATAAAGTAACCTATGAGCCAAATTCAGATAATGATTAAGTCTAAATTTGAAAGAATTGATCGAAAGCGCTGATATAACATTTTTCAGTAGTGAGTTCTACATGTTAAACACACGTTTCAGCAAGAAATACTGTCTTGTACGGGTGTGATCTATAATTTTAAATCATGACCTGGTAATCTCACATATCTGTTATAGCCGAAGATTTCATCTGGATAGTAGATTTTATTGTTTACCCTGTGTGTCATTATGAGATCTACACCTATTCTCATATCTTTTAGAGACTGCAGATATAGGCGTGTGAGAAATGTTTTGTAAGGAAGATGCTTTGGACACCTTCTAATTGATGAATGTCTTACTTTAGAGCAAGACACCATAGAATTCAAGATGCGTAGGGAATATATGTATTATAAAACTTGAGAAAAGTAACCGTCTTAAGACCTTGAAAAAATCTACGTATCATATAAATTAACTGGTTACATTTTCTTACAATTTTGCATACATGGATCACGACAATGGATCCATGTATGCAGTATAACGCCAAGATCGTTATACTGTGACACAGCATTGAAGTTACGACCTTAAGTTGTGTAATATAATTTAGGACTGTTTGTCACACACCATTTAGAGCAATTAAGAGGTAGTAACCATTCTAAGCACTAACGATTAATGAGATCAAGGTCATTTTGTAAAGTCAAAGGTGATGCGAAAAGTTTCAAGTCGTCGACATGGGAAAGCGATCCAGATGCACAGTTCTTCGTAAGGTCCAATACATAAACAAGAAATAAGATAGGACCCAACACTGACCCCTGGGGCACACTATTTAAAATATCTCGTTTCTCAGAGTGACAGTCAACAACCCGCACTGCAAATTGATTGTTACTAAGAAAATATTCTAACCATGATAGTAATTTTCCACGCACACTACTGTATTACAGCTTAGAGAACAATTTTTACGTATTTGTATTTTATCAAAGGCACGCGAAATATTCAAATAAATTATACCCAGAGTTATTACAGCGTATATTTTATACTTTTTGCTAAGAACATTTTCCTAATTGGATGAGTAATATATACAATTGAGCTTCTTAGCCTCGGATGGTGAACTTCTAAAGTTGTATGTAAAGACGAACACTTTCGTGACAAATTTTTTGCAAATTTACGTCGATTCCACACCACTGAGGAATTTAGCAAGGAAACGTGCCCCACATGTATCCAATTACAGGCAGAAAGCTTGTCCTCTTTAATTTCATTCGCAAATAGTAAACGAATTGTTTTTGCCACGTTTCAGTAGCAGGGACCAATTTGCTTCGGTTCCAGCAATGCTGCGAGGGCAAATGTGTACTGTTTGATCCATTAATCCTTTAGTGGAAAGTTTAAAAAGAACGCGTTTCGACATTCAAGTCACGGTGCGCACTTTATCCATCTACTTACTCGCGGCTATCTGTTTCCAAGCTATTAGTCGACGTTTTTGTTGGGTACATTTATCCGTTTCCTACTGAAATTTTACGTTTTCTCATATTTTCGTTATAAATTTAATTTTACTGTACGAATTTCTACGGAAAATCGACTACTGAATGCGTAATAAAACCTAGTTTTTTATATAAGGCGCCCCGAAATTAGCATTCAATATTTTAAGAGCCCCTGTCAAGACTAAAGAAACAGTTTAAATGAAATGGGGTTACAGATGTCTCCTAAATCGTACAAAATAAAATAATGAAATTTTAGCGTTTTACAGTAATAAAGTACTCTTATATTACTTCAATAGGGCGCATCGTTTTAGAGTAAAATTAGTACATAAACTATTATATCCTAAAAATATGTGAAACCTCCAACAATTTGAAATTTGTGAATATATTCATCTGTACAATGTGATGAAAATAAAAACACTTTATTTGGCAAGCAGATATACTCAGTCTCAGCCAATGTTAAAAATAATTTGTTATTAAAATATAACATTTTATAAATAGTGAGTTTTAATGGGAAAAGTAAATTGTTAAGTTAAATCAAAGTTTATTTGTACCTAAATATGCGAAAGTAAGGATTTTCGCACAGTTCAATCGATATGAGTAAAATTTTCTTCTCTTTCGACGAAAATGTAATTTTTGTTTTCAGAGATGAAAATGTCAAAATTATCCTAATTAAAACACTAAAGCCCAACACTTTGAGTCTCGATTAAGGCTTGATTAAATAATCAGGCGATTAGACTGTGATTATACTTTATAAAATAAATCAGATTATGTACAGGGTGATTTACTATATTTTGACCCCCCTTTAACTTTTTGTTTTAAGAGTTATAAACAAATGTAAAATAGCAAAGTTGTAAGGTTTTTTATTAATTTTTCGAAACTGATATTTGGAAATCATAGAAGTCCAAACAAAATGGTCGCGGATGTTAACTTTGTTAATTTAAATGGAACACCCTGTATATTTTTACATATTTGGATAGAACGTTCTCTGTAGATCATAGTCATATAGCGTTTGTTGAGTCCATCTCTAACAATAAGCGAGATACTATTAAAAAAAGAAAAGAAAGTTTAAGAAAATAAGATATTTTGTAATTGTTAGACCTCTTTCAGACACTTCTGCCTTTTTCAAATTATGTAAGGATTTACAGATTTAGTAATGTATTTTGACATATCGGATATTGATATGGTCCAAAATGCGTATAGGTATTCTAACTAAATCTCACTAATTAGGCCGCGAGAGGCCTAATTACTTATGGATAATGTTATATGGTAGGCCATGATAGTGACAGGTAATGCCATGATAACATTGTTATTGATTGACAGTTTGTATTATTATTTAATTAAAATAGGTTACACAGAAGTAGATAATATTAGGAATTAAAGTAGAGTATGGAGAAGATCTTTACTCTATGTTAATTCGTATAATATTTCAATTTTCTGCTTCTGTGTAACCCATTTTAATTTTTACGTAATTGGAAAAAATACAGAAATGCTTCAAAGAAGTCTAACAATTACAAGATATCTTATTTTCTTAATAAAAAAAACCTTCTTTTCTTTTTTTAATAGTAACTCGCTTATTGTTTGAGATGGAACCAACATACTCTATATGACTATGCTCGACAGAGAACGTTACTATCATTTTTGAAAAATTCATAAAAAATTGTGCAACTTTTGTGTTTCATATTTTTTTATAACTCTAAAAACAAAAATGTTAATGGGGTAGTCAAAATATAGTGAATCACACTGTACAGTCTTCAACTTTAATTTCCATGTATCGTGTGTTATGATTTTTTCACACGAAGAAGACCGATTTATGCAACTTATTAACTCGAAGAATATCAGACTTTGCTTCAAGTGAAAACGCATTTTTAATTTTCTGAAAGTTGTTGTCTAGGAAAATAGAAAATTTAACTGAACTGTCAAAATTTCGTTTGCAGTAATAGTTCGATTTTGTTGCTCAAGTATGCTTAGAAAAAGTGAATAAATGTGTACTTCGACATAACTAAAAAATCTGTCAATATTTGACAGATCAACGTAATCAGAAGAATGAACTAGACAAATTTAAAAATCAAATGCGCTCATTGCCACAGCAAATAGGCTACATATTTGAATTTTCCACAAAAAACTGTTTTAATAATAATTGAGTTCAGGAGGTCCACTTTTTTACCGTTTCTTACAACTAAAACATAATTGGTATTCAGTTGAATGCAAGGCAATATTTCATAATCCCTCATATTTTTTATTCTAAAAGCATTGTTGGGCTAAAAAGGGACCTGTTACCTGAATTCTGCCGGCGTGCCCCAGGACGATGCGAACCCTATCTGTTGAATCTTAATCTTTTTGTCCATCCTCCACTTGAGCAGAGTGTTATTATGAGGCACCGAACCATTGCCGAAGCATATCGTGTTTCTCTCCCATGTCACCCAGAACGTTTTCCACTCATCCTCCGACAGGATCCCCGGCGTTTCGATGCTTGTCAGTTGGACGCCATATCCTGCAAAAAGACAAGGCAATGGGGAAGATAATCGAGGTGTCTGTTATAATTGTTATACAAGATGTTTAAGACATCATGAGACGTAGCTTAATAGCAGATTGCTTAGACCAAATAGTCCTTAATCAACTGTTCTTTTTTAGCCTACAGGGTATGAAATTAATACAGAAAAATCGAAATTATCGCAATACAGAATTTTTCACAATCAGTTGAGATGACCCTATGCTGTGGATAAAGATTTGTATTGCGCTATATCTCCAACCTTATCGCAAAAAACATTTTGGTGGATTTTCAGTCATCTGTTGCGATTTTAAGGTTAATAGTGTTTGTCGGAAATTTTTTACTCTCTCTTTCTATATTACTGTAGTGAATTTGTATTCTGTTTTAAATTCTACCCATTACTAAATAAAATATGGCGTAAATTTAAAAATAAGCAATTCAAAATAAATAAGGCAATTTTTTTTTATATAAAAGTTCATTGATTAGTTAATCTTAAACAAGAAACACTGCACTAAATAAACATTATGAGTGGCTAAGACCATGGCTGAAGTACAACGCAAATATTTTAGAACGTACTTTTTTTCATCAATATTTGCACAATTAAAATATTGGGCCTACCATATATTTTTTTAAAGGACACTATGACATTTTAAGTTTGATTTTTGTTTTTGTAATTTTGTTAAACCAGACAGACATTTTTTTTGACATGACATGTTCATAAAGAGTTTAACCTTGACGCATAAATTCTAGAAGTAATCGAATATTAAAAAATTAAATAATTTTCTTGACTTGAGCATTAAATTTATTCTGTGGGCGTTAAAGTAATTTTTTTTAGTGAATTTTGTTAATATATTAAAAATTAACATGTTATATTAATTTTGTGATGCTTCTGCCATCTGTTTGAATTGGTTTTTGAAGTAACTTGTACAGGGCATTTATTTATGCTGTAATATTTTCGGTCACAATTTTTTTGAGGTTAGGATTTCGTACTTTTTAGGCAATCCTACAGAAAACATGTGCTCCTGCCACAATTTGCGAAACTTCTGTTTTCGAGAAAGGTAAAAAATAATTGTCAGGCAAACAATTGACAAAGGAAAACATATGTTTTCAATTATTATAAGGATTTTATTTTATAGTCTGTACAAATTACACACATGTCTATCTGAATAAAAAATCAAAACTTGAGGAAACTATTTGTAATCTTTGCGTACTTTCTCCGACGATTTAGCGAATTTCGACAAGGGTTTTGTGAATTAAAAAAATATCAGAAAATTTTTATTTAGGATCACTCAAAACATGCTTCTACTAAATTTTAACACGATGTTTTTTTTATTAGTTTTACAAATATTCGTTAAAAAACAACTTTAACTCTCTGTATCTTGAAAACAAAAGACAATAGATGAAGTTTAGGTATACGAAAAATACTCCGGATCTACGATAATGTTCTCTAAAACACTCTGTTTTTAAACTATTGTAAGTTCAATAGCAAAAATGGTTTTTGGACGAAATTATAATACTATCGATTGAATCAATTATTGATCAAGTATGCGTATTCCAAATAGTTAAACGTCTTCCAATTTAAATTTATCTATAGCAGACTAATATAAATTTGAAATAGGTTTAGAAATTTCTATTAAAAATAGTGTAACCTGCCTTTCTTATATATTTAGGTAACAGTTAAAAGTATGACATATGTTAGATACTATAAATTTATTTCACTTACTTCCATTCACTTAAGATATAAATAGATTTTCAGATAAATAGAACTCTAACCGGCTACAACGTACCATGCTTCCCCCTTCCAATATACGTATTACTGTTGTCAGCATCTCCAACAGATATCCTATACATTTTATCTGTTTTTGAACGGGATTCTCCGAGGGCGATATGAAGAGGTCCAATATTTTTAGATTTTCCCGCTTTCATTTCTATAATGATGCTCTGGTGGTTTCTGGGTGCTGCTATCCACTCGTACTTGTAGTTGTCTATTGTTGAAATGATTAAGTTCTCTGCAAAAGATATATCACGTTATCTGAGAGACCCAGAAAAAAAGCTACTTAATCCTATAAAATTTCGAAAGGAAATATTTTACGCCATTATTGAAAGAAAAGTTTGAATTTAGTTTCGTATAAACTAAATGTGAGTTTTAGTAATTACTGAAGAACGATACAATTTATTTGAAAATTGTATTTATTTACACTGATACTTTTAATATAAGTAGGACGAACTTTTGGGAATAGCAGTAAGCAATATTTTAATTTTTGTGTTAGTTAAATATAACCTAATAATCCATAAAACGGTTAGTTAGGATGTCTATCATGCATAGGTTATTGATGAGTATTGGTGACTGTTACGGTTCGAACTGCTGCAGACATCCACTATTCCTTACACAGAAAATTTGCGCACATACGTCAGTATACATGTATTCACATTTAATTATGTTACAATATTCTTAAGGAACAAAAGTTACCATTGTTACACCCATGCCATAGACTCTATGATCTTTCTCAGTCTATTTGAATATTGTCAAATGGTACTAATAACAGTACTTATATGGTAGCTTATTTTTGCAAGTATTGGGAACTGAGAAGTTATAAGAGATAGAAAAATGGTTAAATGATGAAAATTTTATATCGATATGTTACTAATTTAATAGCGCATTTAGACTAGCTCTATTTGGTCCATTTTAGAGATATTTTGAACAAAGTGGCTTAATTTTTTTTATTTTACAAATTTTTCAGATACCTATATAAAAACTTTATCATAGCATAGTGTCTTTTTTTCTCATGTATTTTCGTTCATCGTTTAAAAGTTTTGCAAAAGAAAATGCTCTTGTTGTTTGACATAGCGCCCATAAGAAAAAATAAAATTGAAAAGAATATGATGAAGGTTTTTTGAGACTGCAACATTGAGATAAAAAGAACATGTACAAGCCAAAAGCTTTTGTAATAAAGATTTACAGATTTATGAGAAAAATAATGTCTTTTCTTTTTCAAAATATCTCGAAGACGCTAATGTCGTATTCCAAGTTTCCAGCGGATTCGAAAATTCATTCCACTTTTGAATCTAACCTACGAAGTCGTCTCCAATGTATCTGCGAGGTGCCAACACCGGTTAAAGTGAATACCCATGTTCGAAGAAACCCAGACGACACTCCACATGAAGCAGAAGATGCGGAGGAACGCCGTTGTTTCGAAAACTTCCCACGAAACCATTTACAAAGCTTCCATGCGCCCCACACTATTACTACTACGACTATTTTGAGACGGGGTGTACCAAAATCAAATATCTCGTAGAAAAATGAACCAGGACTCAAATAACAACTTAGATAATGTAGATTTTGGGAATAGGGTAATAAAAAAATATTTCGATACTTACTTTATGAAATGCGTTTCTTTTTTCATTTTCTTCTGAAATTGAACTATTATTTCAAGCTATGAAATTATAATATACAATTTTTGCAGTTGATAATGCTGAAAATTGTGTTAAAAGGCCGACTTTGTGAAGCATGTTTCGACCATTAGAAAAATGATAAATAAATTTTGACGACGAATTTGGATTTGTCGTGGCAAATTATACGAAGTTCATTTATTTGAAAATAAAATAATTATTTTATTGAATTGAAGAAGAAGACTCGAGGTACCACAAAGGCTTCATATCATACTACTCAGGGGGTTCAGAAGCTGCTGCGATGATCCTTATAGATATAACCCCAACCAAAGACGGATACTTGTCCAATATGTGTAGTATGCTCCAAGTTTCTTAGCTATATTATATGAAGTTTTTTGTAACACATATTTATTTAATGTTAATAACACATTTTCAATAAATTTTACAAATTCAAAACTTTGTTAAAATTCAATCGATTTTAGCCCAAACGAACCCACCCCTCACCATCCACTACCCTTCATACCCCTCAATAACCGACCCACATTCAACTACTATGACAGAAAAATGTTTTTTTACACATAGGGTTAAACAATCAATATCCCGTTAATGGGTCAAACAGATCCAACGCCCATCTTCTCGTACCCATCCCCATAATTCTAATCTCGTTCAACTATTGTGACAGGCAGGAATGACAGAAAACTCAAATTGAAGCTCAGTTAAACACAAACTAGGGCTCGGACAGGCAAGCTCAACCAGAATAATGGACTGGTAGAGTGTAATTAAACCATGGTCAAGAGAACTCAAACTGAACCTCTGACAGGCAATGTAAATCTGATCCTCGGACAGGGAAACTCTAACTGAGGTTCAGAAAAGAAATCTGTATCTCAAAAAGAAGTTCAGGCTACCAAAACTAGTCTGAAGCACGGACATTAAATTCAAACTGAAGTTCAATCAGGTAAACCCAAACTGAAGCTTGGACTGGGAAATTCAAACTGAAGCTCAGACATGGAAGCTCAAACACTAACAGAAGCTCCAGCTGGTAAAACAATGCTGAAGCTCCGTCAAGCAAACGCAAACTGAAGCTCGGACTGGAAATTTTGTGCCAAAATTAATTGAATATTTCTTGTCTGGTCTAGGAATGTGTAAAGAGTTATTTTTGTAACATTACTGCTTGTCATAATAGTTGGACATGGGTAGGGGAAAGTGGGTTGGATCCATTTAGTCCAAAACAAGTGAATATTGCTTGACTGGTTCTGGGGATGTGTAAAAAGTAATTTGTCTGCCATTACTATCTGTCATAGTACTTGGATGTGGGTCGGTTATTGGGGGGTATGTAGAGTAGTGGATGGTTGGGCTGGGCCCGTTTGGCCTAAAATCGATTGAATTTTGTCTGGCTCTAAGCTATAAAAAACAAACATTTTTTACATTTTTCCAATTGGGCCGAAAACCGCGCTTAATGACCCTCGTCCATTACTTCGTTGTCGATAAGTCCTTTATATTCAGTAAACAATTCTCCCACAGTTTCACGCGTTTTTCTAAATTATCGTGTACCAATATTTCCAAACATCCTGCTATTGCAGCTAAATCAGTGTTCGAGAAATGTTTAAACATCTCCTGGATACTATTTGCACCAGAATTCACTGAAAGTACACATTGCTGGCCTCCAAGATTTTTTTTGGGAGAGTGCATTGTGAGCGTACTGGTAACTTCTTCAAAATTCTTATTTCATTTACAATTAGAAAAACGTTTAAATCAAAGTTTGATGTAGCTAATTTTGAATAACGACTTTAAGTGCTGCATTGATTTTGTTTTTAAAAAGTTTTGAGTTAATTTTAAAAGAGAAGCACTATTGTGGCAACATCCCTGACATCTAAGACGATTCAGCTATACAGCGATACGCTGCAAGCTGCAACCTGCTGTTTTTCATCGAAGCAAACTGCTGTATGTTTATAAGACGACTATTTTGCAGCTACTGCTTTCACACTTCTGAATATCCAGCGCAAGCGATCCAGCCTAAAAATTTACGCTGAACATTTTTGTTAGCTGTCGAAATTCAGCAAAAGTGTCTTAAAAACGTTTGCTTCAAGCAAATGCAAGCGGTTGGAAGTGCTTGATTATGTTAGACGGCAGGATTGTCTATATGACCGAGAGCAATAAACAACAGTTACATGCAATATGTAATAACAGAGTAATTGGAATTTTTTGACATTTTATTGAATATTTTATCTTAAAATTACATAAAATCCATATGGATAACTAAAAAATATCTATATTTTTACAATAAATGTTCAATATGATGTCCATTGTTGTTCAAGCAGGTATTAATTCTCCTTTTCATATTATTAAATACATTCTGTAAAACATTTTCTGTAATACTGTACTCCAAATTTCGTTTGTAATTGCCTCTTGAAGTTCTTCAATCGTGTGTAACCCTTGAGCAAATACTGCATTTTTAAAAAACCAAATAAATAATAGTCTAGGGGTGTAAGGTCAGGAGAACGTGGTCCATCTACCTCGACTAATTATTCGATCATCATAATACCTCTAATGAACTCTAAAGTCTCGTTAGAGGTGTGAGCTGTTGCGCCTTTTTGCTGAAAGTATCCATGATGGATTTCATCGTCGTGAAGTTCCTCAAAAAATGGTAACAATATTTGCTGCCGATATACCTGCCCAGTTACATTTTCACGGGAAAAATATGGTCCGATTCTACGTGGCATAGCTACCCAAACACCAAGTTTAATAGGGTGCACGCAAAATATTAGGGTATTCTATGTTCAAAGAGCGATAATTTTGGGAGTTTACGTACCCACTTAAATGAAACCATGCGTCATCAGAAAAAAATTTTAGATCTAGAATATCGTCGTCATTCAGATTAAACCAACTACAGTATTGCACACGTTTTTCAAAATCTAACGGAAGTAGTTCCTGCACAACACTAACTTTATAAGGATGAAAATGCAACTTCTTTACTGCTTTATGACATGATCCATATGATATTCCTATAAACAATTTAGGAATAATGATACAAATTTTAGAATAAATATTTGTTATTACCTGTTTGAGCAGATAACTGACGTAATGATTTGGTTGGACTAGCTCGTAAGCGGTTTTCAACATCTTCCAAGACTTCCTCTGTAAGAATAGACTTTCTGCCCGGAGATTTTGCTCTACAAACACTTCCAGTGTTATGGAAGCGTTCCACTAATCTCTTCACGTGTCTCGAAAAAATTTCATAATCAATTTCATCATTTGGAAATTATTCTTGAAATTGTAAATGACAAGAATTCATCGAATATTTCCAACCATTATCATTGTTTTGTCCACTACGAAAATAGGCCTCCAGAATATATCATGTTCTAATGAAAATGCTATGTTCTTAACTTAAAATTAAAAAACCGATTAGGTTAACAACATACGCAATAAATTAATTACTCACGTATAATATCCACCTTCTCTAACTGTAGTATTGAAAAATACTATATTATAATGTCGCAAAATATATCAGGTAACAACAAAATCTACAAAATAATATCCGTGCGCCAATGAACAGAACGTCAAATTGTGAAATCGCCACAGAACACCATGAAATCGCACAGAAAAAAAAGTAATTTTAGCAAACGGAAATCAGTTTTGATAGCAATTGAGACAGGGTACGTTTAGAATCCGGTCAATCATTTTCGATCTCTCTGTATTAGACTAGACGCAGAGGTCATGATACGCTCACAGTTTGCTCAGGATCAAGATTTTTATTTTATTATTAACAAGCATTTAAGATCACGATCCGCTCAAGTATTGTCTGAAATTTATACCACTGTCAAAGACTGTCAGTGTTGTGTCCTTAGCAACTAAACGGAGCGTGGCTTGAGTTTTAATGTGTATTGACCTTTACTGTTCCGTTCGCAACGCAGCGCAGTAAGCTTTTTAATACAACAATGAAATATTTTGCGCAAAGGTAGGTAATTATAGAAGCATTACTTCCGCATTTACTTTGGTATAAAAAAGTGCTTGGACGGTTCTTCAATATATTACATCCTTGCAGTCCTTGCAGGAAACGAGATAGTAAACGTTCCTCCCTTTTATCTCTTAGCGCGAAGAGCTAATGTGTCAACGCGAAATAGAGTGGAGTTTTTATCCGCCGCGACAGCCCTTTCATTATAATTTATTCATTTCATATCTTACCGTTGGCGCAGAAGTAGGCGCTCTCCGTGTCGGTCTTAACAATGCCCTCCGGGTAGACTTTGACGGTGGCGGAATGCACCACTGCCCCAGTTAATGTCGTGTTGTTGATGCGATCCGTGCCCTCGCAGCTCGAACTCGTGTACCCGTTCACCTCCACTGGAACAGAGACATGCAGTTAGTTAGCGGTCGCAACGGACGTAATGTGAATTTTTAGTCTCTTTGCTGTTGGTTTTGCGGACAGACAATTCTTCTCTTGTCGAGCTGGAATTCCTACCTGAAAAGTTGGGGCATTTTATATTTTAGTTACTCTGTTGATATTCGTACTCGTGTGCCTGAAAATGGAACAACTCTTATTTTGTAAATTTTCATCATAGGGTCGTTCTAACATTATTTTTTATTTTTTCAAGATTTGATTGAAATATGTACCGGGTGGTTCAAATTGGTCTGATTCGCAGTAACCCTTGAAAACCGACCAATTTAAAACACCCGGTATGTTGTAATTTTTTTGTTTTTGACTATTTTATGCAAAAAAGAGGTACACAATACAGGATGCTTCTAAAATGTATCACAAAACTTAAGGGAGTGACTCAGCATTATAAAATATTTTTTTTTTCGAAATATTACCTATAGTCGAGAAAATAAAGCACTAAAAACGGCCTTACCTTCGAAATTTGTGCAGTAAGATGGACAGTGATGCAGTTTTTTGCATTCGATTCGTTAGAGCGTCCAGAAAGTTTGTGACCCTATGTGATCAATGAGAAATGAAAATTGCATCGGTGCATAAGAAAAATGTATTTTAAAAATTGCATCTCGAAGAGTTAAAAAATGAAAAATTTATAACTGGGAAAATATTGAAGGAATGAGTTCAATTTTGCTACTCGGTGTTTTTGGGGTCGCTGAACACGATCTCCAAGGTACCTAGTGCTCAGAGTGGCCGGTTTCCATGTCGACCCCTGGAGTTTTGTGGAAATTCGTTATAAACTTAGTCGAAACTCGTTACCTCGGGGTTTTTGAGGTCGCTGAACACGAATATCACGACGGCAACGATCTCCGAGGTACCTAGAGCCAGAGTGGCCGGTTTCTGTGACAACTATTTTATTCTTAATTATTTTTTATTATAAAAATGCATTTATTCATTACAAAAAATACATGTTTTCAAAAAAATATTATACTTAGATATCTTTACAATTTTAATTTTTCTTATTTCACGTGTGCGCTATAACTTGGAGCGTATCCGTATATACTAGTATGTGTAAGAGTATGTATTAGCACATATTAGTAATATGTGGTATTAGTATATAATGTAAGAGTAAAACGTGGAAGCAGCGGCCAGCGATAGCAGTCCTTACCTAAAATTTCATCAATGCTCCCAACTGTATTAAAAGCGCCAAATTAAAAAAAAATGTTTCGGATAATTTATTTAGATATTCGATAAAGCTTATGAAGATGACATCGGTACCTCGGAAATCATTACCGTCGTGATATTCGTGTTGAGCGGTCCCAAAAACCCCGAGGTAACTAGTTTCGGTTAAGTTTATAACGAATTTCTACAAAACTCCAGGAGACGACGTGGAAACCGGCCACCCTGGGCACTAGGTATCTCGGAGACCGTTGTCGTCGTGATATTCGTGTTCAGCGACCCCAAAAACCCCTGAGTAGCAAAATTGATCTCATTTCCGTCAATATTTTCCGAGTTATAAATGTTTCATATTTTAACTCTTCGAGATGCAATTTTAAAAATGCAATTTTATTATGCACCGATGCAATTTTCATTTCTCATTGATCACATAGGGTCACAAACTTTCTGGACGCTTTAACGAATCGAATGCAAAAAACCGCATCACGATCCATCTTACTGCACAGATTTCGGAGGTTCAGTGCTTCATTTCCTCAACTACTAATTGTTTTCAAGATACGACTTTTCAAAGTTCAATGTTTTAATTTAATTTTGGCACATCCACTACGTAGTTTAAGCTCTGTTACAATTAAAGGAAAGTTTCATTTGACGCTGCTGGAGGGTAGTTTACCTGCAATCGAAAAAGAATTTCCTTAATTCTTTTGTTTTAGCGATTATAGCTAATGTTAATGAATTGTTTGAAACTACCATTATTTTACCATGCCGAATCACCCCTTTAGGTTATATGATGCATTTTAGAAATACCCTGTATATAATACAGTTACTAGATGTTTATACTGGGTGTGCGGTAATCAGGTCCGGACTGGCTTCACGACGAAGGCGCAAAATGTTTTGTTAAAAATAAATTATTGAATAGAGATAAAATATTAATTGTTGTTTACTGCTTGTCAATAAATAACAAACTGCTGCTAACTGATTTGGCAATACGATTCTTTCTCGAAATCATTATCGATTAAAAAAAAACTTTATAAAAATTACATCTAGGGTTATTACGTGCGATTATTTATATCTCCATATAATTATACCGTTTATACTCACGTACTTTTTGCATTCTTTTCTCAAAAACGAATGTGTATAGTTTTAACCAAATTTTGCAGTTTTGATTAAGCATGTTCAATTTAGATCTTCATTGCTTTTAGTGAAGATCTGGTTAAAACTGTTTTATTGAGAAAATCGTTTCGATGGTTAAGTATAGAAATAATAACTAATAAGTAGAAACCCTGTGCAAAATTTTATCTAAATCGATCCACCTGATCTCGAAAAATTAATAAGAAATGCGTATAGAATTCCGACTTTGAATTTTCAATTTCTTTAAGATTAGCAAAGCGCTATGACTGAGTCGCGGTGCGAAGCACCGTGGCGCAATAATTATTTGAGTTTAAGGCTTAATCTTAATTTTTACTTTTGAATATTAATTTTTTTTAGTTTTATCTATATTCATCTGAACATTTTTTTATTTCAGTACTTAAAAATAAACAACCTAGAAACGAACGTATAGTAGCTAATATGAATTTTATCTTCATGTTTTCTGAGATATCGTTTGTAAGAAGAAAAATATTATAATATATCTACAACTTTAGTTCAACTACTAGACTTTTCAAAAAACTAGTGAATAAATACACAAGATATATTGATCTTCAGTGTTTGGAAAAAAAAATAATATATGCCTAATTCAGCAGCTTGATGACGCATGTAAACAAAACTTCAGATACATTTTGAGAAAATTAATGATTCTTTTTACAAACAGGCGATTTTATGTATTTAAAAAACAAAAAACTTAATATAAAAACAATAAAAAATTTACTCCTAGGAATGTTGAACTGAAGTACTTTGTTCATCTCATTTTATTCGAATTATTTCGATAGATAAAAGAAAATATTCGATATTTCTATTTTTAATCATTGAAACGAACAAATTATTATGGTTAATTTAATAACAATAAAAATGCTTTTATTATATTAAAAAAAGACTTACCTACTACTAATAAACGGCGCGCGGCGCAAAAATAACAGTATATTGAAAAATACGATAATAAGCGCTTCATTTCTTTACTCTGACAACAAAGTCGATCAATTACAGTTTCATTATCGTCTATCTCTGGTTTTACGAGCATTGAACTCGCTCTCCCCGGCCTATCTAGGGTTTAAGTCGCCTGTCTCTGGTTTTACTAGTATTGAACTCACTTTCCCCCGCCTATTTAGGGTTTTAGTCGCCTGTCTCTGTTTTTATGAGTTTTGAACTCGCATTCCCTCGCCTTTCTAGGGTTTAAGGCACCTGTCTCCGGTTTTACGACCATTGAACTCGCTCTCCCCCGCTTATTTAGGGTTTAGCTGTATTGAATTCGCTTTCCCCGGGAATCTGGGGATTAACTTCCTTGGTATTTTTTTTTTCATTTTTAGTCTTTCCATGTATGATGTGATCAGTTTATCGGATTTTTTAAAAAATGTAGGTGCCTTGAGAGCGCAAGGCGTCAAACCTATGGGAAAAGGCGCATCGGCTCGCTGGCCGATTGCCCGGCGGGTCAGTCCGGGCCTGGCGGTAATGATGCATCAATATTTCGAGGAATGATTCAATGCGAAAAATTAATGCCACACAGTCCCATAACCTTTTTTTTGAGTGAACCGATTTTCTTCAAATTTTGTCCACTTACCTCCAATGCCTAAACTGTCTTAGGCCTTAGAATAATGACTCTTTTATTGGAACTTTTTTATAAATTTGGATAGCACGTAATTAGTGAGGAGAGTCTCGTCCGATAGGTATTGTAATTAATGATAAAATACAGGACATAGCGGATTTTAATAATAACAGATTTAAGATACAGGTTGTTGAAGTGTAAAAAAAGTTATTTCTCTAAATGTCTTCAGATATTAGATAAAACAATTTTCTTTTCATTTTTCAAATATAAATTTTGTTTTGGACGAAAATGATTTAAGGGATTGAAGTCGGGGTTACAAGTTGGCCAGGAATATTCGCTACCGCGGCCTACCAGTTTTGTGGGAAATTTTCGTTTAAAAAGCTACGATCCAGTAAAGTATAGTACATATCTTCATTTCACCATTAATTAATTTCTCCAATTATAAACATCACGTCTCATAAGCGTAGCCTCGTCGCGTCAGTAAACAATATCTTGTCAAAAAATTTATGTTTCTCCAGTCTGTGTATCGTTCCTACACTTATTAGTCAATATACCATCATAGGCAACGCAACCGACGAATGGCTCAATTTTTTTAAAGTTACTATTCAAAACAGTGAATTTTCCTTACGTTTTCCGTAATTATACTGAAGCGGATAAAACATAATTAATGCATAAGTTGTTTTCGGATGGAGACGTAATGAATTTCCTTAATCTCCCTCGTGAACTTTTTTCGATACTTTCTTTGGTTTCTCCAAATTATAGACTAATCTAAATTCTTATTTTAACGGTTTCTTCGGTCTTCATTCTAAAAGTTAACGAGATTCTGACCGGGAGAATATTTCACGAGATACTGCGAGGGATCTAATAATGAGAGGCTTATGGCACAAAGCGGCACGGTTAAATCGAAAACAGCTCGAATCCTTTATCGGGCTCATTTTCTTAGAGGCACATCTATTTTGCTGTCTAGGGTCTGATTACGCACTTATTTTCTGCGATGCATATCAAAGAAAAGCAGAAAGCACTTTGCTGATATCCGTTTCAGGCCCATTTACGAAATTAAAATGGAAGGTAATATCAGTCGTGCGGAGAATCCTTTATTTATTA